CGAAGCGTGGGAAATGCAGCTCATTAACTGACAAGAAGCAATTTAGCATGCATACCTGGGAAGGAAGAAAAAGACTGGTTGCCAGATCCCTTTATTTTAGGGCCTCCAGGGGGAATCTTGAAAAGATCCTCATTTACAAAAACATCTCTGGATTGTACCGAGCCACCTAAGCAGCAATACTTACTTGGAATTCCAGAACGTGGTGGAAGTTTTGAAAGGAGGCTGTGGTATCGTTTACAGAGTACCCTGTTGCTGAAGCATGTGATGTCAGCATTGATTAGTGTTCTGTGGCACCCAGCCATTCACACATGGCCTGATCATGCATTCAGATCACCACCCTCAGAACAAGCAAAACCTTTCATGTCAGATTCCCGGTATGAAAGTTCCCTACTTCCATTCCAGTTTGGGAGGGATCCTGTAATACCCAGGTGGAAAGTGAGGAAAAAATGGATCATGTTTCTGTTGCTCTTTCTAGCGATGCATCCGTGTTTTGGCAATAGAAGGAATGACCCCATTTTAATTCTACAGCTGCAGAGGAATCTGCCAAGCACACTTACCTTAGCTTATTAGAGAGAAAATTAAAGAGACAGGAAATGGATTTCTTGCTCAGTTCACAGACTGGGAACAATGGTGGTCCTTAGGGAGACACTGTAGGAAGTCAGTCCTGACTCAGTGGGTGGTTTATCTAATTTAAAAATAGTGAAGACCCATCTCTGCCTTCTGCTCCAAACCCTCCCATCAGCAACTTAACCCATATTTTGCTCATGAACCCTGAAAAATATGGTCCCCATTTTAAAATGTTGGAAAAATCAACCCTTTCACTCTTTCATAAAGCTGTCCTTAATTTTGTTCCAAATAATTATATAGCCCCATAAAGATTCATTTGGATGCAATATACAAATTGCACATACCTATGCATAATATGGAGAAGGCTGAAGGTAGATTTCTAGATAAATGAATATCCACAAGAGGATTGAAGAAGTAAAATTCATGAAACTGCAGAAGCCAACTATGCACCTCAGAGTAATAAATATGCTATTTCTCAGTGGGCCAGGGCTCTTTGTTAGTTATAGCAGAATAATTTGGACAACTTCTGAAATGAGATGGATGATCTTTTGATTTGTTCCATTACAGCACTGAAGATTAGTGAGCCAATATAGTCTTTGGCAGCAGCCCAGCGTTCAACGGCACGAGCAGCTCTGCTTTAGAACCCTTTGCTGAAACAGGAATGAAGTTAGAGCTGGTTTCCACAATCTGGCACCTTCCAGATGTGTGGGGAATAGAAATTCCCGAATTTGCAGCCAGCATGTCCAAAAGATACATAATTGGAAGTCAGAATTCTGTAAATTGTAATCTGGAGGGCATCAGATTGAGGAAGGCTGCACTAGATTGTGGCTAAAGATCAAATAATTGTAAGTTTCCATCTTTAAAGACATCTCTTCTTAAATGTGCTCATAACTAAAGGGTCCTCCAATCTAAATCAAGATTTGTCCCATCCTTTCTTCATCTCTTGATGTAAGGTTGAAGCAGGGAAGATGGGAACCAGCAGCTGCCAGATCAGTGATGACCATTATATAAACATACAACAATGGCTTGGCTTCAAGATCGTCAAGCACTCTGCTAAGTATCCATTAATTCAGAATGGTGGGAAAAAGAAGTCTTGAATTTAAACCCTTGAGGACGTATACAAGTCCCACACATCTTTGCATTGGTTTAATTGAGTCCTAGTTGGAGAAGCCTGACATCTGCAGCATCCAGGATGCTGAAAGAGAAAGGGACACTCGCTCAACTGTTGAGATTGCTCTGGCAATCAACAGATGCAATTGGATATAACACCATTATGACTTTTTTTTAAAATAATGCCTCAGAGATCATGAAACCCATTGATGGAACTTCTTGTGAATTTAGTCATCCCATCTATTGTTCATATTTGAAAGGTTGTAGCATCTCCACTTTCCTATGAAATACATTCCTCAAGATAGGGGTCTTTAAAATGCAGTCCAGTGGTTCTAAAATGGATTCTTGTTCTTCCTATTCAGGTTCACACTTGTCATTTAGGAGAGAGCAAGAGTGCTTTGCTTTTTCTCCCAGGTTATCAGGCTAACCAAATGGCATGCCTGTAATAGGTTTCTCTGGATGTTATATGGGCATCAGTTTTTCCAAAGCAAAGCATGAACTCAGAAACCAAACATTTTGACTGGGTGCCAGCCACCGGCAGAACAACGATAAGGAATGCAGCTTGTTTCAAAAGCAAGTCTCTCTTTCAGCTCTCCAAAAGAGAGTATTTTATTTGAAAGACGGTGTTTGTCATTCCAGGAATATCTTCTGGTGGGCAATTAAAAGCTTGGTGAACTTTGGCGTCCATCGTGACCAGCTAGGATTATCAGGTCAATGAAGAAGAGTGGCAAGGTTTTTGATTTGATTCTTTTTCTTTCTCTTGAGTGCTCAAAAAGTGTGAATCTGAAAGTTGGTATTAGAACAACAGGGGCCTAAAAATAGACTGTTGCTTCTTTTAGTCTTAGTTTATGCACTCAAGTAATGAATAAGAAAGCAAACTTGCTTGCAGACTTGGTGGCTTCCGATAGAACACTGCAGCCATGACAACAAGAAAGCATGATTGAATCACCATGACAAAGAACCTAAGAAAACTGATCTGGTGCTGTTATGAAACAAAAGCAAAAACATTAACAAATCAAAGTTTGACACAACTTAGAAAATAAAACAGCCCCTCCACCCCTGAAGTAGCAAAAAATAATTTTAACTACCTAGTGATTTGTTTGTATCTATTTACCTAAAATTGCATAACAGCCAAGTAGATGTTTTTTATTACAGAATTCTTTTTATATTGGAAGGTACCATGATTTGTACCAAACTGAATTTCATAAGCAATCCTATTTTCTAGGAATACTGAGATGAGAATTTCAGTCTACAACTATTATTTCATTATATTGACGCATTACTTTACATCACTGTATTATTACTGGCATTTCTGTTAACTTTCCATGTTAATGAAATCCATACATTATCTTGATTGCACTGGACGTAACTACCATTTAAAAAAAAGCTTTTATACTTCTGTGTGAAGTTAGTAGGAAATGCTGCAGTGTCATTTTATATTTACCAATGTATGCCAGTGAGGAGGTTTAAATTATATTCTTCATTTAACACTTTGTCACAGCTAGACACTTCTGTATCCTAAAACATCCTCCACATGTATCTGTTAAAATTAGATACCGGAATGTATATTTATATACTGTGGGATCCAGTAGTGATTTAGATGAGTAATGCCATCATCAGCTTCCAAAACCCTTTACATCTTTTGTAGAAAAAACAATCTTATTATTCTTTAAGGTAATGGAAATCCCTTTGTTCTTATTGTAATCAAAACATCTGCTAAGAGCCAGTGCAGTCCAGGAGAAAGAGTGTTGAGGATTGGACAGAGATCCTGAGGGACTGGCCCAAAGTTACCCAGCTGGAAGCTACGGTCTCCCAGTTTCTGGCCTTGTGCATTTAACCACTTCACCAAACCGTCTCTCATGTATTTATTAGGGCTGTACCTTTAGAAGACTGCAGGCTTTGTTAATGCAGACCAACTGTTGTTGTTGTATTGTCGAAGGCTTTCACGGCCGGCATACGATGGCTGGTGTGGGTCTTCCGGGCTGTGTGGCCGTGTTCTGGAAGTTTTGTTTCCTAATGTTTCGCCCACATCTCTTGCTCAGCGTCCTTCAACAATCCGGTTTTCTAACTCTCTCGCTTTTCTGTTTTTCTTCTTCAATTTGGTCGCTCCGACTGTTGTGCG